AAAATTAAAATTCTCAAACCTATTTAGAAAACAATCTTTGATAAGAAAGTGAAATAACATCAGGTTCAGACTTACTTCATCACTCTCCACCAGATTTTCAAACTGCGAGATAAACAAAAACAAAAAAGGCTGAATTAATAGTACTACTTCTTAAAAAAACATCAGTTGTTTTTAAAATCGGTTGTATGTGCGGTACCTCTATAGTATAGTGTTCCCCTGTTGTACTGCTTCTGAAGTATTTGGACCTGTAGTAATACAATATTACACTTGTCACTTACTGCACAGCCACAAAGTTAACCAGCAACCTAATTATATTATTTCTATTATATGCAAACTGATGTACAATTATACTCTTATCAATGTCATCACATGAAGATACTTTTTTGTGAAGGTGCATATTTTCATACTTTGTTCTCACTCTTTAGTTTTTTAAGCTTAGGTTATTCAAGTGTGTGGTTTTTTTAAATACGTCTGTTATTTATATCTGTAAGGTACGGCAGAGAAAAGCAATTTTTTTTATTGCTGTTACTGTTGAACCAGTTTTTAACAGTGTATGAAAACAAACATATTAAATTAAACTTTTGAATAATTGTCTGACTAACTGTTCCTGTTCTTTTAAAGTATTTCTGGGAGGTTTGAGTTTACATTTCTGCCTCGATTCTCTGCCGATATTTAGTTTGTTTGCTAGACCAGGCATTTCTTTAAAAAAATCGCTACCATAAATTATATCGATATACATATAATCAACACAAAACACATTGTATAAGTCATAAAAACTACTAAGCACTAGATACTAAAACGTATCGCCAAGATATTTATTATTTAATTTATAAGACTTTTTTTTGCTTTTCTTAGCCTAGCAACTCAGGCTCTCCTTCATTGATCCCTGGTTGACTCCTGGTCCAGACAGTCAGGGTGGGGTTTCTGTGACACCCACTGTGACTGGACACACAAAAGGCCACGGAAAGCATCACACCACGTCACAACACACCGCATTTATCCCAGTCACCGACCAGCCTCTGCCTCACGGCTACCAGCTCACAGTTGTTAGCTCTTCCATTAGCACTACCAGGATACTGCTGCTGCTGTAGCGGATGTTAAAAAATAAAAAAAAACCTGGTGCAGCCGGGTTGTACGTACCCGCCTCCTCTCTGGATCCTGCTGACCTCCCGCCTGAACAGACCCACGCACTGAGCACAGCAGTTTCCCATGGCATTGTCAAATGGAGCAGAACTTTTCCTGGGGGGCAGTTGACAGTGTTGACATCTCTAGCTCCTCTGTGTCCGCCCCGGTCCTCTTCCTTTTCCTCCTCAGCACCAGGCACTTCCTCATCCTTCTTCTTCTTCACCGGCTGACATGTCACACATATACAAGCATGCTACACACTGCCATCTACTGACGATCTGTTGCTATATTTTTTAAAAAATGTAAAAAAATGTCGGTATCACATTTTCATTTTTAGAAACAGACAATACTGAGGGTATACTGAGAGGGACAGCGATTTTCTAAGGGTGACCGTGGCCGTTCCGGGCCACCTCTGGGGGGCGTCTTTGCTTTACAAAATCAAAAACATGCAAATAAAACATTAGATTAACTGAACAATTATGGGTATTTTTAGACAGTAAGGCAGCCTCTTAAAGAAATATACTACAGACAAAGTCATAGTGAAAAAATAATTATGCAGGAATCCTTCACTATATGAACCTCATTGGAATAAAATTATGTTATATTTACTTTTATATTTTAAACATGTGAAGTTCTACTTTTTCACATACAAAGGTTGTAATATTTCTGAATCAAAGGGAAGTTAGGCAAAATCTAACAAATGTTTTCATTGTGACAGGTAACAGCTAGCTAGACTACACAGAGACATTTTACTCCATGTCATCAGAAGTAAAGAGGTAAGCATGCAGTTCGTCCTCTGCATGGATGTTCTCCACACTCGTGACTTTCACTTTCTGAACAACAGGCATGTATCTGGGCATGAGCTTCCTCCCACTCTGAAAAGCAGAAACGCCAGAGGTCATTATTTTTCTGAAAATAATTCTGCTTCTATCTTCTATTATGAACTGTGTGTCAAATGTCTATTAAAATGTTACATTCCTGGGAATTATTTTTAAAAATAAGTGACTTACTGCTCTCTTGGAGTCTGCCAGGGATCGCTCCAAATACCTTCTCATCCTTTCTTTCTGCTTCTCTCGCTGCTGCCTCAGCTTTTCTTCACGCTCCCTGCACATCAATGTTCACAGAGACACTGTTGGCTGAACGACCAAACCACAAGTTTGGACTCTGTTTTGAACTTCTACTCCTCAGTCCGTAGCACTGACCTTGCTCTCCTCTCGCTGTCCTTGATTTTCTTCATCATCACCAGGTTTTCTTCGGGGATGTTCTCCAGGCTCTGCAGCAGCAGAGACAGGTGGTTCTCGATACTGGCCAGCTTCTCCAAAGTGCTGAGGTTGGTCATTCTGTCGTTCACGCAGGTGCGATGAACCGCTGACACCTTTTCGCCAAGACTGTCCAGCATCATGTCCTGTCAATAAGAGGCTCAGATGAAGGGTGCACTTGCCGTGTATCGAATTGTATCCGTGACAGCTCTTACCTGGTCTTCAGTGTTCAGCGACACGTGCAGCTGCACCTTCTGTTTGAGCCTGTTGCCTCTCGCTTTCTCTTGAAGGATTTTTTGGTTGATGTCAGTTATTTGTCGTGTTAGCTGCTCTTCATCCTGTTCGCTATACAACGAAGACAAAACCAGCACAATAAGAATAAAGGGTTAACGTGAGTGATGAACGACCGAATAATAGAAATAGAAGGTGGACCATAAATCCATACATTTTCTTCTCAGCCGTATGAATGGATTGTTGGAGTTCGTCCACCATCTCCTCCAACCTCGTGGAGTTCTGAATGAGTGACAGGTTCTGCTCTGTCAACTCGTTCACCAGATCTAGAAGCTGTTGAGGATCAGTAAAATAAAGTTCCGGCTCGTCCTGCAGAGAATGACCAAATCAATGACCGTCTGTTCACATTGCCAAATAAAACATCAAGGTGAATAATGATGAGGTTAATAAAAACTAATGTATGTGAAACTGACCTCGTACTCTGAGCTGTCATCGTCCTGTTCACAGCCTGTTATCCTGAAACACCAGAGAGAATTGTAGTCACAGGGAAAAAACAGCATATGTTATGAGTGACATATAGTGTTAATTCTATGTTCTTTTATTAACAATTCTAACCTAAACCTATCCTAACCTATTTTAACCCTAACATATCATATCCTCACCCCAATTAAACATAATCTAATCTAATCCAATCTAACCTAATCTGAACTAATCTACATTAACATAACCTAATCTGATCTAATCTAATCCAAAACAGTGTTGGACATTCAGAAGCCATCAGTGATGTGGATATGGAGAGCGTCTCTTCTTTTCGTACCGGGTTTCACTGTAGACTGTGGACAGTGGGTTCTCTCTGACAGACAACGGTTCTCCTCCATCTGAACTGGACTCCTTCATCGTTGCTGAATCTGTGTGGACAGGAGTAGTTTCATCTTTCATATCTTTTGAAAACAGGAAAAACAGAAGTTACCACCTGGGAACAAACATTGATTTTCTTGCTGTAAGGCAAGACAAGTAACCACTTTCCAGATTCACTTGCATTAAAGTACTTGCTGTTTTTAACCGTCCCCTCTGGGTGGCGTGTGTACCTTTGTCGGACAAATCTTTATTTGCCCTTTTCTTCACCTTCTGTGCCTCCTGCCACTCAGGTGGTGCCAGCTTAAACAGAAGCTCCTTGTATCTCCTGTAATCAACCAGGGTTTCTTCAAACTTGATAAGGTCACTGTGGAGACAAAAGACTGGATTCAACGTCAGCTTCGTTTATAGATAAACGTAATAAGACATTAATAAGACATTAAAGGTGATCGTTCTTTCATCGGCATCAGTTCCACCTTTTGATGGTCCCTATTTCGGCAGTCAACTTCTTGATCTCAGCGTTCTTCTCTTGTTTAGACTTGGCCTCCTGTTCAAAACTGACAAAGAACAGCGGTCAGAGAGTATCTTCTAGCCACCATTTGGTGCTCATTTCACACATGACGGTATTTACAATGTCCGAGCCTCCACGGACTTCTTCTCATTTTCTCTGAGGAACTCTTCAAAGCTCAGGTTGTCTTTCTCAATCATCGTTTCGAGTTGTTTGAGTTCTTTTTCCTGCTTTGAAATGGTCTGGTCCATCTTCTCAATTTCACACCTCTTCGTCATGAGTGATAACTGTGGACAAGGTTGAGGTGTGAATCAAATGATAAAGAAGAAAAAAGTGCCACTGACATTTAAAAAAAAAATATTTATAGTAATGTAGAGGACAGAGGGCTTCAAAAAAACTTAATTAAGTTCTCGAACCACTCACCTCTAAGACTGCCTTAAGCCGCTCCATTGAAATTAAGTCATGTTTGCTGTCTCTTGTAACATTCTCTGTCATTTAAAAAAGGTTAAATTTGCGTTTGATTAAAGAAAAAAACCCAACGTCTGAAACAGAAAATATATTTCTGATCCTACCTCTTTTCATCATGGCCATTTTCAACTTATGTCTCGCTGATTGTTGTTTAGGAGGAGTTGTTTTTCCCTCGTTTTGTTTTAGACTCTTTTCTTTTGTCTTTTCTTTTCCCTCCTCCTCCAGTTCTCCTGCCAGCTCCTTCCTCAGCTTGGACGTCATCTGTGCAGCGTGGAACGTCTTCTTGTCGATGGGCAGAGCCAGGAATTTCCGCATCTCCTGAGGACGTCAAACAAACATTTCACCATCATTCAGAACGTCAGCATCAGTGAAACTCTTATACCATGAGTTTATTCACACCAACCTCTTTTTGCTCCTTTTCACGTTGTTTCAGTAGTAAAATGCCGTTTCTGTCTGGAACTTTGAACGGACTTTGTTGTTTCTGCTTCGTCTTTCTCTTTGGCTCTTCAAAAAACAAACAAAGAACAAATAAAGTTTTATTTTCCATGTTAAATTATGTTCTTTGATTATTGTTTTCTCAATGTTACCTTGTTTATGGGACTGAACAGGCTGTTCTTCCTCCATGTTAGCAGCACCTTCTGAGATCTTTAACATGTCTATGGAATAAACAATGACAAAAACACAAATGTCACGTAATGAATAAATTAATTTTAATGTTTTTCTTTTGCTTTTATTTAACAGATAGTTGGCAAAAACTCACTTAGCTTGTTATAACATCACTGTAATTTTTAGTGTTAAAAGCATTTTTTAAAAAAGCTTATACTCTTGAACGCAACAAAGCTAAAAACAAACAGTTTTCCCGGGCTGCGCTTTTATCAAAAAATAGCTAATAGCATGAGCCAAAATAACCTCAAACACATACTTTATTTCCCTGGGGTAGTACGGAAACTCGCTGTTACTACGGAAACTACTACGACGAAAAACGATTAGCCGCCCTCGCTATTGGTTCATGATAATTGAAGCCGCCTCACACAGAGCACCGTAGGTGTTAGTCCGCAGGAGGTGAAGCTGCTGGTGTGTTTTTAGAGAATTCTCCTGAACTTTGATAGAAATACGACCAATGCTTTTCTTTACATACGTAACGAAAACTGTAATACATGAGTGGAGTCCACCTACCGCCGGTTAATGACTTCAAAAATCGGCTGCCTCTTTAATCAGCTCCGGCAGTCATGTGTACAGATGTCAAGGCAACTGTTGCATTCAGGAACACCTTGTAAAACCGTAACCGGGGCCGTTAGGACATTTTCCCCTAAAACAGACAAATATATTTTTATTTATCATTTTATTTTTTTACGGGAGCAAAAAGACATTAACAATTTTAAGCAGAATTGGTTTACAGCATTTTTTTTTTCATTGTAAACTTTTCAGGTTTAGAAGGTTTTATTACTAGGCCATTCCCCACTTTTTAAGTACACACAAGTTGAGTACACTTTAAACTGTGGGTTTAATGAGTAGTTTTGCCAATGGAATGTTTGTCCATTAAAACTTGAGCTGTTCACCAGTCCGTAAACCCTTATCTGCTCCTCTTCTTTTAATAGGAGACCGATCTGTGCTGCAGACAGACCAGTACAACTGTCGCTCTACTGAATAATACGTCTATTATAAGCCTAAATAATATTGTTCAAATACATGCAGAGTATTTGTTATAATCTTATTATCTATTCAGAATAATATTTATTGATCATTTACGAATTCAGGTTTTATTTTTCTGTGTTTTTTTGTTGTTGTTGTTGTGTATTTTATTTGATAGCGACACTTTAAAATACATAATCGGTGTACGTATTTCTGAGATGTATTACTTATATTTACCACTAGATGGTGCAATCAATAAAATAATCTGCTCTACACTACGTGTTTATGATATTTTTTTATCATGTCAGGAGATATACCCAAATCACAGACTACTGTATTGTTACCCATCATCAGTGTGTCAAGAATCACTTCCTAGAAATAACCAATTTCTTTCCTGTTACTGTGAGCAGGTGAATATACTCAGCGTCCAAATATTGTACATATCCTCCCACTCATCCACACATGACCCTGCACATCTCACATCACCAGAGCAGCCCACACACCGCACTTACTTGAAGGAAACCCCGGTGTCAGATTGTCAGGTAAACATGAAGTAAACACGGAGGCGAGAGTTGGCTTTCCTGCAGGAGAAATGAAATGTGGTGTAAAGAGAGAGCGAGAGACAGAAGCCGCACGTGTTGGATTTGGTGTGGATTTTTACTGATACTTGCCGAGAATATTACCTTGTACTCCAAACTAGATCTTCAATTTTTATTGTATAATTCAAAGGATGATTTATGAAATCATTTCTGCAATTATATTTTGCAAGCTAGAGTCCAGGGATGTTTTTTTTTGTCTGTATACAGTACCACAGCAGAGGAGACACCTACGTCTACAGTATGACAATGCTGTAAAAAAAAAACACACACACAAAAAAAGAGATGCTCTCTTTCAACATTGTGTACTGTACTGTTTGTTTGAGGCTGACAGATTGCAAGATTTACTTTTCTGTGCACAGTAAAAATCTCAGATCTTCATCCCCAAATCAACACGAAGAAAAAAGAAATGCATTGGATAACGAATTCTCCACGTTCTCCAGTTATATCCTTAAAAACGTCTTTGTCGGCAGTCTTTATTTGATGTCATTACCATCATTAACACTCTAGTCTAATCTAACCAAGGATAACAGTGATGTGCAACACTGAAGGCTTTACTGACTGTACTTTTGACCCGTGAACACAGAGATGTAAACATTTTACTATGCAGTATTTTCTCTACTGTATTACGAGCAAAGCTTCTAAAATGATAATAAATTCATTTTAACATTCTGGTTATTTCATCATGTGAAAGTGTGTCTAACGCAGGTTTATTTGCAATTATTTACAGGAGGAAAGGAGACATTCGGTAGCTGAGTTAAGTTCACATGTAGTCTTTGATATCAATAAAAATCAATTTTGGGATGTTAGTGCTTGTACATACACTTTGCTGAGGTCTAAATTGCAGTGCAATGCAGCAAAGTGCAGCCTGCAACACTAACAGTCACACTGCTGGATTAACTACATAACAAACAGTGAAGGATTGAAAGTATGTATTTGAGGAAGAAAGTACTAGAGCAAACGCCCACACCACAACAGACGAACGTATCTATAGAGCTCCCGCACACGTGGCGTTTCATGAACATCCTTTAACATCTGCCGTCATTCTCACAGCTTGAACATGAAAAAAATAAAATACCACTAGACAGAATCACTGCTCATTGACTTTTGCTCAAGTTGATTTTTCCCCCTTAATCCCAGGTAGAACTAACTTCAGGTCAGGGGTCTTCATTATGTTCATGTTCATGTCCTCAACAATATTAATCAATCTACAGTATGTCTATGGTCCCTAAGATGGAGACTTACCAACTGTCCCATGTAGAAGACACTTGTGTTGACTCTGTTGGCGTCAGTGTACAGCTGACTATGTGGTGGAGACATTCACACCATGTTGACTTGGATCCCAACTGAATTAATCCTCTTACAATTAAAAACTCATCAGCATGCAGAGGCCCAGGCCTGTCTGTGAGGGGGAAAAAAGTAACGCAATGAGGCTCTCAGTTGACAATGGAGCAGCTAAAGAAAAAGAAATTAACACAACATGATTAAAAGGGCTGGGTGACAAAAACAGTGTACCATTTCCCTCTGAGGGTGAAATGTTGAGAAGGATTTTATTCTCAAGACGACTACTGCAGTAAATGTTAGCTCTCTGGTGTCTCTCCCTCCCTCCGTCCGTTCGTCCATCCATTCCTCCATCCATCCATCCAGTCATCTATCATACCTGTCAAATGGCATTCACCACCCTACTGCACATGCTAACAAAAAAATAACATTTGATTGCTCATGTGATTGTTAGATTCGGCCTATTTAATGGTGGACTTTTTTCTGTCACTGCTCAACCATTGCCATGGTTACTGAAGTCGCCCTCAAGCTTCCAATAGGTGGGCGGAGCATGTAATGTCGCGTTACCATTTAAAGGTTAAGCCACAGTATCCAGCCATTGAGAACTGAATTGTTAAACTTGGGCAAAGAATCCAACTGTGATCAAGTCTTCAGTTGTTTTTTGTTTTTTTCAGTGGACCAAAACATGGCCAAGTTTTAACAAGTGTCCACTTGCATGTGGTTCAGGTGAAAACACAGAGTCACAGAAACAGATGTCCAATAAACTACACAAAGATTTAAGAAACATCAACTGTGGTCTGTGTAGTACAGTTATCATAACAAGGACCTGGATCACTCCAGAGTAAAAATAAATGAGGATTTAATGAGAGGACAGTTTATATGCAAATCATTTCTCCTCAAAGACATGTTCCACTCGAGGGACTCAGAAATGAAATAGATTTGGGTTAGATTCCCTGATTCGGCAGCCGTTTTACTCCTTTGAGATCTTTCTGGGGTTTTTTTTCTCTCTCTTTAACGTGATATCTGTCTCTACTATACCACTGACAGTCTGTTTGCTGCTGATAATGAAAGTCCAACTGCACCGGTGAAAAACAAATATGCATTAAAAGGTAGCACTTATCCTTTGGTCATGGTGCTTAGAAACAGAAAAAATAAAACCTACTTGGCTGAAAGATGGCATCAAGATGACAGGTTAAAAGAGGTGATAATGTGATTATTGCGATACCTAATAAAGAAGACCTGCTGATTCTCTATTCACACTGTGGGAAAATAACTGCCGGAAACAAAGACCACTGGGAGCTCCGTGAGCCCATTTTCACTTTTGACCAGTATCTGTGCCGTCCTCTGAGGATAAAAACACAGGGCTGTGATATCATCACTCATTAGCATCTTGTGAGGGTAATAGAAATCTATGGGGGAAACACGCCTGCTGTAAACATGTCCATCACAACATCACTTAGAACTGGGGTCAGTGAATAGCAAGGACCTGGGGAAATATATAAGTATCAAAAAGACTAACTTTAAAGGTAAAATTGGCATCAATTTATTTCATGAAGAACAAACATTAATTTTAATATATAACTGTATTCTGAGAAGTACTTAAGCCTCTAAAATCAGGCTTCCCACTACTGCAAAAGTGGCTTAAAAACGGCTACAAAAGCGCCGCCGTGTAACTCATTCCAAGATGGCGTCAACATTTATTGATAACCCTGGTCAGTGTTGCCAAGTGGGAAATGTATGATTATGATACCAGAGGTATACAATTATTGTATTTTAAGGGAATATATCGTACGTCGTATTCTCGGACGATACTTACTTTTACTTTTGCCCGCCATGTTCTTCGCTCCGCCTCTTCCTCCTCCCACTTTCTTATTCTCCCTTGCTTACCTTTTGTTTTCCGTCTTTTTCCCCTCTTCTCTCTTTCCTCCGCCGGGGTCGGGCGCAGCGGGAAATTCAGCCAATCATGCTCGTCGTTCTGAGGCAAGGATATGGACGTCATTCGTAGCCCACATTTACAAAAGTACAATTGGCTGGAAACTTGTCACATGAAAACGGATGCCTTCAGGGTTCACAAAAAAAATCTGTCCCGCAGACATTAGCGACATACACATTCACGCAATAGTCAACGTATAGTAAATAATAGCATAGTAATAATATAGTCACACTCTGTGGATGAAGCCATGCGCAGTAGGATTGAAGCAGCTGTGATTTTGGATGTGTTCTTGACTCAACTTTCAATAAAGTTTATAAGCTGAAAACTCGACTGTTTTAATAAACGTTACAGGAGCAAGAATAACGCGAGCCGCACTCTGTCGGGATCTCTTCGAGGGCAGTGTAAACCTAACGTAGATCTTACAGGCTTGAGTTGAGTTGTTACTTTCACTGTCAAAAGTGTATTTATTTATATTATTTATATTTTTAATGGATAGGGTTTAATGTGTAAAAGTTGCGCGGCGTTGAGTTTTAATAAAACACGATAATTTTACACCTATATTTCCTACCTGGCAACGCTGTTTTTTTCCGTGTCTTGCCATAGTCTTCGTTCCTGCTAGGTCCATGTTCCCAGGAGTCAACACTACACTCAGTCAATAATGTATCTGATCCCAGTCTCCTAGGTCCTGCCTACACCTCCTCACATAACAATAGTATTTCCCAACTTTTATTTAAACACCAAGGCAGTCATCCATAAATATCCATAAACACAGAGCAGAGATGATACAAACGTTAGGAAACAGTGGAGGATCACAGGTGTTTATCACGGTTCACAGCCATTAAAGTATGAAACAGTCCATGCACCAACACAGGAAGGAGGATCAACATTCCAACGTGAGTAAAAACCTGCCCTTTCTTTATGCGTTCCTTTTTTAAAACCACTACATGTTCTGACATTGTGAAGGGATTCCACAAACCATCACTACACTCTGATGTCTGCCGTGTTGTGGCCTATATTTGACTGTTTAAAATCTGGCCATCGGTCTAGGCCCTCTCTGGAGAGGCTCCTTTGAGAGTGGATGTCTATTTCCAGTCTGCCTATTTATACAGTGCCTGCCTCAGTAGAGAGGTGAAACCAAGCAACGTCTTCTCTACAATCAGGGCAGGAAACTGAGGCCTTTGATACTGTAGATCAAAACCGTTTTACTCGGAACCATGCGCTTTTATCCCGTCATCACAACAGTTTATCAGCTCAATAAAATCAATACCACATTTTATGCCTTGCATGGAAGCGTGCAATGGAGAGAAAACGATTAGAATTCAGTTTGGTACCGAAGTGAATCACAAATGGAGCTCATTTTTGAGACGAATTCCTGCAGCAGTTGCTGTGTTTGTGGATCCACACCATATGGGATTGTCAAGCAGTCCTGTGTGTGTCTCTGTGTGTATGTGTGTGTGTGAGAGTGTAGCTGTGATGAATGTTCAACCAGAATAAAATCTCATGTCTTGTAATAAATCCTTGGGTCTCTGTTTTCCTGACAACTTCCTCGTTGTTAGGTCTCTGAGGAGTTACTCTGAATTCTACATCTCTTTAATACCAAGGTAAAATAAAAACAACAACTACTCACTGTATGTATTTAAATACTGTAGGTGTAGGACAGTAGAGCAAAGTTAGAAGACAGCTGTGTCCCACAGAAGAGCTGAAATCCTAACGCTGCTCCAGGCTGGTGTATGTTTCACCTGCTTCTTTTACTGAGGGGTTTATTTTGATATCTTAGGCCGCATGGCATCATTAGGGGTCTTTTCTATAGGTAGCAGTGGACCAGATCTTTTATCTGATCTGACTGATGGTAACAATTGGCTGTATTTTTGACAGTAAAATTCTGTAACTTTGAGAAAAACTTCTGTACTGATGGTAACAATTAATAATATAATATTCTGTAACTTTGAGAAAAACTTCTGTCTTAGATTTACATTTAAATTTTGAAAACATAACAAATAAAAAAAGCACAGGTGTATTGGTAGGATAACAGGCCAGAGTGGTGATGGTTTCCTTCATTTAAGACATTGACCGGGGGTCACCGGTGTGTATTTCTCAGGGTCCGGTAGAGGTCCATGTTTGGTTTGGTTTGGTTCCAGCTTCCCTCTGACTCTGCAAAGAATTAAGTTAGTGAATGAATGGATGGGCCCAGGCAGGTTGAGTCGCCTGTTCTACATGTTTTTGTTTTTCCCCTTTATGATTTATATAACCACGCTGTTACTATTGGGTCATATATATATTATTCCAAAAGAAAGTACCTCGGACTTTTTGTTTTTCCAGCCTCGCCCCAGCCCTGTCCAAAAAGCACCTTCACCACACTGATATTTCCTCCAGTCTTCACTCCTGTGCTTATATTTTTGGAAACTCCTAACTGTGAATGCCAGCAGGCTGCTTACATTATTTGTGCTGTTCAGTGACCGTTAAGGCAGAAAGTAGGTTTAACCCGCTTGTTTATACAGTGTGTACCATGCCATAGCATTATCATAACATCCACACACCTATATAAAGACTGTGTCTAAGGCCATGCGGTTCAGTACCAACCGTCAGTGAAGGACCAGAAAAAATAAACAAACACTGGAAGTTTTGGGAAGTGACTGTGTATAAGATATTCCAATGTCATTTGGAGAAAATAATAATTGAGAAAGATGAGCAGCGTGACGCTGTCACTGCTGTGCTTTCTAAGAAAACCGTTGTGAATAATATTTGTCTCTGTGGTGAACCGGTGTCTCTGTCCTGGATGTTCCCTGCCCTTGCCTCATCCCTGCTGGGATTTGTTTTCCATCTCACCCTGCAACACTTGAAACCATCAAGTGATGAATGAACAGGCCCTGTGTATCACATACTGTATATACTAGACATAATAAATGCATTCCTGGCCTGCATTAGCCATTTGCTGGTGATTAGTCGTCAATGAAAAGTGTTTAATGAAGCATTAATGTCAAGTTATGAAACAGAAACTAAAGCTGAGTCCAAAGTTTCCTGCAGAGATTGAAAAGATGACACAGTTTCCATAGTGACTGGCTGAGTTTTTGTGTGTGTGTGTGCGCGCGCTTGTGTTGTGTCAATGATTCTGAGGGTATCTGGTATCACCCTGTTTTTTTTGTTTGTTTTTTATTACATTTGTCAAGGCTCAGCAAAACAACTGTTTTCTGCTTTTCTGGCTACATCTGCTGCTGCTGCTGGTGGTGGTGGTGGTGCGTTTGGGGGGGGGGGGGGGGGGGGAGTGCTAAAGCTGCTAAAATACTCCTTGGAGGGTCCTACTGTACTGCCATCTTCTGTAGTTCTTTTTTTTATAACTTCTACTGCATCTTGCCATCATTGTTTTTACACTTTTATTATTATTATTATTAATTAATCTTGGTGCAAAGGCTCTGGATTGTGCATTGATTTATGCATAAAATAATATTGTTCACATGAAAAGTGGTTTTTGCTTTGGTCAGCACTTTCCCTGGTGCAGGTGTGTGAAATGTCTGCCTGCAAGATGAAGAAGTAGTTCAGACAGAGCTGTGGAGTTGAAGAAAATCAAGGTTTTAGACAATTAGCCTAGACGTTGCACTTGCTTGCTAACAGCAAAATGAAGCAATTTTTTAGGTAATGCAAGCAGTTGTTTGGACTGACCTAAGTTTGCTTAAAGAAATTTGAGTCCTTTATTGAGTTGTAACTGAATAAACAACATTACATTTTTTAACATAGAAGTTTTGGATTAAAAAAAGAAATCATCAACTTTTTATTTTGTTCAGCGAATATTTTGTCCACAGAAAAAGAAGAAAAAGAATGTTTATTTTGTTCAGCGGACATTTTGTCCACAGAAAAGGTAGAAAAAGAAATGGAATGTTTTTTTTTACAAAGTATCACAATAGACCAGGTTAGTAAATAAACACATAATCGACTGTGGTTGACGTCACACTTTTATTCACTGTGATAAAGCAGCAGCAGCAGCAGCAGCAGTAACTGTACGCTTGAACTCTGAGCAGCTGTAGGTTAACAGTGTCCTCTTTTCTACACTTAACTTTCTTTATGACATTGAACTATATAAACAGGATGTGTGGGATTTGGAGCCACTGCACTGAGAGACACAAGAACATGTTCATACCGTATATACTCACATTTACCGTGATACAGTTTCACCCTTATACATTAAAATGAGAATTTATCCAACATGAGCAAAAAGGAAATACCGTACATTCCCTCCATCAGAGCAGCTGTTTCACCCTAATCACAGAAAACAGTCAAATGTGGGAGCATCAAACTTTGTCTTCATTTAAATTAGGGCATCTATATTTAGCAGCCAGGGTGTCAGATCAGGCAGGGTTTTGGGACATCAGGGCAATCAGGAGGGTTGGCTGTGGATCAGTCAATGCTGTAGTTTGTCTCCGTCTTCTTGGACAAATAACCTGCCCCCAAAGTTGCCTTATGTACTGAGCCTAAGTGGGTTCTGGGGTCTAGTCTTGGTCTGAAGCCCTGAAAATGTGATTAATAAAACAGGAGGATGTGCTACCAACACCAGTGCTACAGCCCATGAGCAAGTCAGGCACTGAATTAAAAAATAACACTTGCCTTCAAAAAAAATTCAAAATCTAAAATGAAAAAAATAAGCCTGAAAATTGCGTTTATAGTCTAAATTTTATTGATATGATATAAACAAGAGTGGTACATATTGTTATAATAGAAAACCAGACCAGATCATACAAACCGTAGGCGCCAGCATAGGGGAGAGAAAAAAGGGTCAAAGGGTGAAATCGGAGAGAAGGAGTAGATAAAAAAAAAACAACAAAAAAACATATTGGACTATGGGAGTTCCCCCTGCGGTCTTGGCCAACTGCGGCATAATTTAAGGAGTAGCAACCTGACAAACCAGGAAAACCAACTCCATCTCAGTTAAACCTGGAAGAATCCTGCTCTTTTATGGCAGTGATCATCAACTGGTGGCTCGGGGGTCCAGTCCAGCCCGGAATTGGATTCCAGAATAAACATTAAAATAATAAAGTTAGACAAAAATGTAATTTATTTGGCCCTCTGACAAATATAGTTGCCGTCATTGTCTAACTTCAGCCTGTAATTGCTCAACGGCTCAATGTGAAACTTCAGGTGAGCGTGGCTGTGGTCTGCTTCACACCGCTCTGAAGTGTTGTTAACTGCCGCTCTGTAATTGCCACTCAGGCTTTGTGAGCTGGATGAGACGGCAGCAGGACACTGCAGAGCGTAAATGACTCCCAATAACTCAGATTCACAAGTGGATAATGGCCCAGAGTGAGGAACGCTTTACATCTGAGCAGCAGAACAACCCTTTTTTTTTTCCCCGGAGCTTGGACCAAGTCGGAACAATGAAAGACACTTACAGAAGTCGGAATTCTTTAAGGGTCACATAATGAGAGAGTGATTAGTGACCTTACCTTATAGGAAGATTTAGAAATCCTCCATTTTATAATGAGGTATTTAAGAATCAGGTATTGTAGGTAATAGTAAGATATTTTAGGATCAGACTGACTGTACACACACATGGTTGTGATGTGGAATTGCAGACCAATAACCTGAAGGAAAATGTTTGTGTCAATATTTTCATTTCTTCCAAACCTGTGTGAGACTGATGTTATTTTCGACCAAACTCGTGCGTTGCTAAAGATGGACTTTGATGCCTTTTCCACCCTGCGGATATCTCTCCCTCTCTTTATATTCCACCTCTGCCTCTTCAGGGAGGTCAGAGTTCAAGCTGAGATGCGAAACAGCGTCGTCTTCTCTATAGAAGGAAGGAAATGTTTGCCTGAGCAGCTTTATATCTGGGTGTTCTGGCTGTATGGTCGGCGCTGAGGACTAGAGACTGACGAGAAAAATTCTCACCCTCTGATAAAAAAAAAAAAAAGTTGGTGACCCTGGGTATAAAATATTTTGTTGCGATGCATTGGCATGCAGTTGTTGTTTTTTAAATACATTTCTTGTTCACATTAAAGTTCTGTTAGAATGATATTTGTATTCTACACCAATAGGTGGTGACGTGAGCTCAGAATGATATTTCTATGCTACACCAATAGGTGGTGACGTGAGCTCCTGTCTGTACCTTTTAATCTACGTTAAATACACACATCTTTTGATGATCTGGATTCATCTACGGGTTCTCAGATGTGTCACAGCCGAGGTTCATTATTTCGGTGCCTGTTGTGTTTGTCAGTCGTTCTCTCTCTCTGCATCTGCTGCTAAATTGTTAGCGCCCGTCTTCCTTCATATTCCAGTGGTCTACATGTGATTCCCCCACCGTTATCTTCAGCTGACATCACATGTTCACCATCACCGTTTTGGTGTCGGGGGGGTGAAACGGTTTAGACGCCGTTTTTCCTGGAAGTCTCTCTCTTCAACGTGCGTCTCTCACTCACATTCAGCTCTGTGGTTTTTTTTACTGTGTGATTTCCCGACAGCTTGACTCATGGTTCTGACTCATTAGCTTCCTCCACTGCTACAATGAGCCTCATCAATCCTAACCCCCAGCACACAAGAGTTCTCTCTCTCTCTCTCTCTCTCTCTCTACCTGGCCATTACTGCTCCATTTGCTGCTCGACAAAAAGCCAGAAAAACAGTGTGACTGTGCAGAGTGCGGGGACATAATGGCAAAAGCAAAGATTCTAAAATCGACTCTGACACCGTTTCCTTTGATTTACGTCCCCACGTTGACATTTAGCATTGTTACAAAATTGTTCTAAGTTGGCTGTAGTGCAGTTTTGCACTGATTCGGGGGAATTATAAAACAACATTCCAGTGGACAGAGGCGGACAGAGTGCTACATTATGTTTCGACTTTTCTCTCCGTTTGATTTTTGATTGGCTGACGTATCCAAGGTCTCGGTCTCCTGACGATGACGCAAAGACCGGGGCTACGAAAGTTTTTGTTTGTTGTTACAGTATTTTCTCTGAGCTGTTGGACTTGAAATCAACAGACTGTGTGAATTATGTATTTAGCGCGAGGCTGACATTAAACCCAGTGTATAAACCACCGTGGGCCAGAAACCTGTGAGTCGGCTCAGGGAACACCATGAGTCTGCTGCAACATTAGCCCTGCTTTACTTTCCAAAAAAAAAACCCTACTTCTTAGCAGCAATAATAGTATTCAGTCTCAAATACTCGTACTCATACTGTACACTCGTAGTCAGAACGACACTTTAAGAACTTTAGTTTACTGCTAATAATGTGTTTCCTTTGACAGATGGTCCAAAAGTCACTGCCTGCAAAGTTAATGAGATCTATAACTGTATAAAATGGGAAAGACACCGATGGGGATTTGGAGGTGTGTGTGTGTGTGTGTGCGCGTGTGTGTGTGTGTGACTCCTGCAGAGACTAATGCAATGACCCCTTTTTTTGCCATGCCAGTCACCCTGGTTATACCACACATACGAAGCCATCTCTCTTTTCACACCATCTCTCTTTCACTCTCGCTCTCTTTCTCACACACACACACACACACGGACAGATTTATTAAAAAAAAAAAAAAACTAGGTTATCGTAGTTATTTCTGTTGCAGGGAGCTTACGCTTACAAGGCAAGAAGAATCTGCTTCAAATCACCGCAGGACAAACACCATCACACCGACAGCGACCAGAGAAAGTACAACCAGACGATGTGAAAACTCAAAGGTGGGACATTTTGCTCCGTTACAAATGCCACCGCGTGAATACACGGTGTACTGCATTTTAAACACAGGCCATGCTTGAAGGTAAAGGTCAAACTTTTCCTTGAGCTGAATTTATTTAAGAAAAAAACGGTAGACTTCAAAGTTAGTCCAACAAAGAAACTTAAACTGACTTGGACCAAAGCCTGCCCCCACCTGGAACATGTATATATTACTCATCACCCTCTGAGCCGCCTTGCTCTAGTGCATTGTGGGAGGACCAGGGTGGGCGGCTGTGCACCAGAAGAAGGAAAACTGCAGTACTTTTAGCCTGCATGTAACATATCTACATAATGTCTCCTCACATTCCTTCACACCAAGTGGCCTCTGATTTACCACCGTCTGTGTGTGTGTGTGTGTCTGTGTGTGTGTGTGTGTGTGTGTGTGTGTACACACTTCAAAACTAATCAGAAAAGTCACTGTGGTGGAACCCAGACATCTTGTTTATCCTAGAAGATTTACACACACTCACCTTCAGAACCTAACACACACAGGTAGAGGGAGAGGGAGAGAGAGAGAGGGGAGAGACAGATAGAGAAGGAGGGGGCGGGAGGGGGGTGAGGAGGGGGTGAAGGTCTTGTCCATGTCCCAGGTGCAGAGAAATCTGTGAAGCAGCATGTGTCTTGTCCCAGTTCCTCTACAGTACCGCTGTGCCTTTGTATATAGATATATATATGTGTGTGTGTGTATGTGTGTGTGTGTGTGTGTGATTGCGTATTGCGACAAGACTGACCCATTTGGATGGTAATCCACGCACTCAAACCAACGCACTCCTTTCACTCAGCTTCCTGACGAGGCTCCCGTAGCAGTAGTGCTGAGGTCAAAGGGTAAATGATTTTTTTCTTCTTCTTTTTACCCTAAAGACAGATCTATTACTGTCAAGACTTCACTGAAAAGTACAACTCAGTGACATATAGTTATATATATTTATATATATATATATATATTTATCTACATTTCCAAGGCAGCGTGGAGGTCAGTCAGTCAGGCGACTCATAATGAGAAGATGACACGGTGTGTTCTCCACCTTTGAGTCAAGTCATTTTAGAAGCTGTGCACGTCTAAATAACCAGTGTGTGTGTGTGTCTCTCTCTCACTCTCTCTCTCTCTCCATCTCTGTTTGTGTGTTTGTGTGTTTGTGTGGGGAGGCAGAAGAAGGAGAAAGCAGGGGCAGACGGGAGGAGAGTGAGGCAAAGAGAGAAGAAACAGCACAGTGAGGGAGGCAGATGGAGAGAGAGAGAGAGAGAGAGAGAGGCAGTTGAAGTGAAGCTCTTGAGATGTTTCTTCTTCTTCTAAAAACCACATCGTCCACCAAAACAATCAGCAGCAGCAGCAGCAGTTTGGATCTTACACGCAGGGGACGGGGCTTTTGCGGGGGGTAAAAAGTGAGTGCGTGTGCGTCCGTGCGTGCGTGTGCGTGTGTGCATGTGGCAGACACACTGCGGGAGCAGCAGCAGCAGCAGCAGAGAGACTGTTCCACAACTTCCCTCCTCCGTGCGCCGCTCTCTGCCCTCGGCGTCGCTGCCGTCTTTCCTGCTGCTTTTTTTTTCTCCCCGGGACACAGGGTCTGCTGTGGTGAGATGTGAAGAGGCTGAAGTATGGCATGCAAACATGCTCTCTACCAAAAAGAAGGCGATGGAGACAGCCATGTGTCCTGCACGGATTCGCTCCCTGTTCTACTTTTTCTGTCTGCTCACCTGGTGAGTCCGCCCCGTTTCTCTGTCCATGGTGCTGAAAGAAAAAGAAAAAGAAAGAAAAAAATCCGCCGCTTGGATCATGTTAGGTTTCTGTCGTTGGTTTCTTTCTTTTGTCAGGTTTCTGTCGTTGGTTTCTTTCTTTTTTTATCACCTAGGATTTTTTGGGAGGGTTCCTGAATATGTTATGTCTCCGTTTCTAGTGTAAAGGACATTTCTGGACAGACAAGGAAGGATGAAAAGCTCTACCCGGAGAATTTCACTCGCATTTTAGACCGACTTCTGGACGGATACGACAACAGGCTGCGACCTGGATTCGGAGGTAAATGAGAGTGAAGTGAAATTGGTTTTTGGGCTCGACGTCCTTCAAAACTTTTTCCAAACTTAAATTAAACTTTCTTTAACAAATCCAATCCCACCCTCACGTGTACATCGTGACTCACGTCTTCACCAAACTATAAGCTAAATGTAGCAGTCATATCTGGATGTTGACATGTGTGCATGTTAAAGTGCTAATGTTTCACAGTGAGTCAGACTTGATCCTCTAAGCCAGTCGGTTTCCTCTCTCTGAGCTTTTACGAAGGAAGTTACATAACCGTGTGCATGTTTATGTTGCGGCGCTTCAAAATGTACAGAGCAAGTGTTAAAAGCGCGGATTTGGCCTTTTTTTTTTTCCTCGTCTCTGAAACAACCAGGCAGAATCAGCCGCTTGGTTTTAAAAAAAATATATTCCTGTGTATTTTCTCACTGTTTCTGAATGGTTGCGTCACATTCGGGGTTTTGAAGTTGGAATATCAAGAGCTATTTAGAAAAATCCCCAAACTATATCTCTCTTTTTTTTTTTCTTGTCCAAAACAGCAATAAAGGCTTGTATCGGTAATGGTATCAGCAATAATAGGCTCCTCACTTGGCAGGTCAGCTGAAAAAAATGGATATTGAGAGTGGATATAACAAGTGCATCCAGCAGGGGATTCAGATTGCGGGCAGGGATTGGATCATAGCTCATCATTTGTATGGAATATTATTAGAAAAATTGTTAGTCAGGTAAAAAAAATGTCTGCTTAGGACCAGTGAAAATCACATTTATCATGTTATTAAGTCAGATTGGTTAAGGGCTCGGTGTGGACACGACATAACAGCTGTATGTGATGAGAAATCCAAAAATGATTTTTTTTTTAGAGCTAAGGACCGTGTTCAGCAGTTCTATGACAGACTTCCTGTTGACCTTTCGACCTTTTGTGGAAACACTCGTTAGTTAATCGTTAGTTGACCCAGTTGCTGCTGATTAAAATGATCAGACTGAGGCTCAACCATGGAGGAAGGAGCCATACGTTAGAGAACACATGAGGGTCTGGGGTCAGCGGAGGTCACGTGACCTCTTCTCTCTTTCATGAAAATGAACACAGTTATAATCCATAAGTGGAAAAACTTTGGGTTGTAAATTTTTGAAAAAAAAGTCTGATTTCATCTACAATGGAACTAACAGAACATTTGTTTTTTGTTTTGTTTTTTAGGTCCTGTGACGGAGGTCAAGACGGATATTTATGTGACAAGTTTTGGGCCTGTTTCAGATGTTGAAATGGTATGTGGCCCATATGGGTCCCCATGTAGTTACCCAATTAGTCAGGGAGTCAGAAAGTTCAAACTAAACATGTCTATTTCTATATATTTCTATATTTTTATGTTTATGTTTTTTTTGGATTTTGGAACAGAGCAAAAAATGAGGGGACATCCAATACTAACTTTTTTGTCGATATATAAATATTCTCCAAACATGATTAATAAATGTCTCAGGAACAAGCGATTTCAGCAAAAAAATTATAATGATTCTTACTGACATTACATAATTACGCTAATATCTATATAATATTTATTAATAATACCATCAGTCAGCTGATATTATCGGACATCCCTAAAAAAATCACATCTCATTTAACAAATTGAAATGTTTTTTACACCTGTCTTAGAACTTTTTGAACAGGTTACAAAATACAATAAGTCGTTTTCTGACGTTTACGTTTTTTTTTTTCCCCCTTTTCAACAGGAGTACACCATGGACGTGTTCTTTCGGCAGACGTGGGTGGACAGAAGACTGATGTACGAGGGTCCGGTGGAGATCTTGAGGTTGAACAACTTGATGGTGACGAAGGTGTGGACTCCAGACACGTTCTTCAGGAACGGAAAGAGATCGGTGGCTCACAACATGACGGCTCCCAACAAGCTTTTCCGCATCATGAAAAACGGCACAATTCTCTACACCATGAGGTACGCACTTCATTAAACCCAATGTAGTTCATACCGTTACAGCTAAAGTGTTCAGTGGTTATTCAGAACAAAATATTTGACCTCGCCATTAGCAGGAATTTTCCTTCAAAAAGAGCGTTTTGGACTTCATTTGCTTTGACCGCTGTGTGTTTTGTTTTCTGAGGTCAGGAAATGGACTCTGCACAAAAGTGACTTTGCTGAGATTGTGCTCATTAAAAAGAGAAGCAGCAGAAGAGAGCAGACAGAGCTTGTTTCATTTAAAGCAGTCGGGCACATTTCCTGTGGAACTGGAGCCAGGTTCACAGTGTAAACAGTGAGGAGGCAGTGCCGCAGCGGCAGCAGCCC